TTTACGAGGGGGTGTTACACGCCTCGCTGCTGCTGTGGGCCGGGTGATAAAGTGGATGTTTGCAACAGAGCTATGTACTGATGCAGGGTTTACAGAGCGAATGAGGCAGCCCACGACACTGTCCCGTTCCAGTCACCGCGCTCGCCCGGAATTCAGGAGCAGGCCGGCTGAGGAGGACGAGGTCCAGGGCCCCAGAGAGCCCACGGCAGTGCCCATGGGGCAGCCAGCCAGGGCCGGCCAAGCACGCACCCATGCCTCCGGTCCCGTGACCTTGTGAGGCCTTCCAGGTCACGTCCCCTCACCTGCAGGGCCTCCCCCTCTGGATGGAGTCCTGGAAGCCAGGGTGTCACCATGGGTGTGGGAGGATGGCGGACCCAGAGCCATGGTGCCGCTTCCCAGAAAGGAAGGCCCTCCTCTCCACTGCCCCAAGGCAGGAGGCCCGGCCTGAAGCAGTTCCACGACAAAGCCCCAGGCACTGGCCCAGGGAACAGGCCAGGTGCTTATCCCTCAGAGCTGGGTCCTCCCTTCCTCGAAGGCGCCTGGAAGGCACAGAAACACTGCTTCCCGTCCCGCCCTACGGGGGACAAAGGGGAGGCCAGGCTGCAGGCGACCCCCAGGAGCCCAGCATCCCATCCTCTGTCCCTTGCAGGTGGCAGGGATCCATGTGACAGTGATGACGGGCACTGACTTGGCCTCTCAGGCTGGGCTCCCGGCCTGGTCTGCCTGCTGCCACCTAGCCATTTACAGGTCCTGCCTCCCTTGTCCTGGCCTGCACAGTCGGGTGGGGGCCAGCATCGGAAAGAAGACAGCTGCTGGCAGGGCTCTCGGCTGACGGGCAGCCTCGCTGGGCCCCCGCCTCTAGGAAGCCCTCTGTCCAGCCCGCAAAGCCCAGTCTCTGCAGGGAGCATGCCCAGACTGGCCTGGGAGCAGATACTCAGGTGGCACACAGGATGATGGACAAAACGGCTTCTAGACTGTGGGAAAACCAGGAGTCCCGGGGGGGGACGAGAAGAGGGTGCCCTGGAAAGGCAGGGGTGCATTTCCACCCGAAAGCCTCAGGGCGATCCCAGGGCTTCCTGGGTGTGGTCCGGCTTCAGCCAGAGGTGTCAATGGGGGCCGTGGGCTGTGCAGCCAAGTACCTTTATTCCTGTCTCGGCGTCTGCAGATCCCTTCCCGCATCCCTGTGTATGTGAAGGGGGGGGTCTGGAAGTGCCCCCCGAGAGCTGCAAGGACCCCCCTCGATAGGGGAGCTCACCTCAGCCAAGGGAGCTGCTGAGCACCGTCTACGCGGCCCGAGGCTCTGGAGCTACGCGGAGGTTCTCTCTCTCCAAACTGCCTTTGCATAGACCCCGGGCCAGAGCACAAAGGACACCGGCCCGCCTGGGATCTGCGGCTGCAGTCGGTGCTTTGAGGACCTGGGGGAGGCTGAGAATGGAGGTCCGGGTGGGCTTCGCAGTCAGAGAGGACAAGGGATCTGGTGACGCTGCACCCCCTGGTTTATGGGGTTTATGGGGCACAGTGCAGGCCCACCCTGCAGGACAAGAAGGTTGCTGGCCTCCAGCCTAGGTGCCGGGGGGAGGGGGGCAGAGGGCTAGGGCTCCCGGGGGCCGGCGATTCCTCACAGGGACGAGCCGGGCACACGGTCTCTGCAGCCCCCACCTCATTCCCTTCTCTTTCCTCCAACTCCAGGCAGCCGGCTCCTCCGAAGACATCTTCCTCGAGCCAGGGCTGCCTGGAACTGGGGTGCACAGACAGGTGGGGGGCTTGCCCGGCCGAGCCCCAAGCTGAGCCAGACCTCAGGGGACCTGAATCCTGGCCGCTGGTGGAGGGGTAGCCCAGTGAGGTGCCTCAGGCAGGGGCTAGGAGGAGATGAACGGATGTGGGGGTGCCTCCTGGGTGGGGGAAAAGCTGAGGTGAGAGGCAGCTGGGGGCAGACCAGCTGGGAGCTGGAGCAGGGCACAAGGGGCACCACAGGCCATGGACCAAGGAGGGACCTCGGAGACCCAGACGGAAGCTGGAGCCTGGACACCTGTCCCCACCCAGCATTCTGTCCTGGGAGGTGCGGTCAACCCACCCAGCGGCTAATCACAAGGTTGGAGGTTGGAGTCCATGTGGAAGAACCTCGGCAGAGAGACCTGGCCATCTCCTTCTGAGAAACCAGCTCTGAGGGCCTTACTCTGACACACCATCGGCCACCTGAGCCTACATCGCTTCCGGTTTCATTCTCCTCAAATCAAACCACACCCACTGCCATAGAGTCCATTCCAACTCTAATCAGCCCCCATTGGGTTAATCTTTATGGAAGTAGATTGCCCAATCTTCCCTCCTCAGAGTGGCTGGTGGGTTTGAACTGCCAACCTTCTGGTTAGCAGTCAGATGCCTTAGGCCCTGCGCCACCAGGACTCCTCAGACTGCCTGAATGTCTGCACTTTTCAAATCAGCCCCATGCAGCAGCTGGCGGCAGTGGAAGCCGCGTTCCCTTTGATGAGGAGGTAGCTTCAAGATCAGATCAACCCATCAAACTGCCTTGAAATCGCCCTGCCGGACACTGCAGTGAGCCCAACACACCCCTTGGGTACAGGGGCTGACGGAGGGCCCTCATCTCACCGCAGATGGACGTGGCTCAGCTGGAGCCCAGACAGTCCCTGCGTAAGTGCACACAGCAGCCAGCCTGAGGCATCCGGGAGCCATGTCCTAGAGGCCCACGGCCCACCCAGCTCCCGCTGAGGAGGCCTCTGCCCACCGAGCTGCAGCACGGCTGTCCCAGATGCCGTTGTGACCCCTTGAGGAGATGAGACTGGGCCTGCTTGCCACCCGGAAGAATGGGCAGTGTACAGTGACGGGCACCCGGGTCGACGGCGGGGGCTGCGGTCCCCAGAGGGCTTGGTGCCTTGTCCAGGCAGCTCCAGACCTGACCCTTGCAGCCTGAAGTGCATCAGCACAGAACATTCCAGAAATGCGGACTTGCAGGACTCCAGAATCCGTTTCTGGAACGAGGTCCCTAGCTGACTCGTGCGCCCCACTTGGGGAGCCAGCAGGCTGCTCCTGCCCTAGGTCCGGGCCTCTGGCTGTGGAGGTGTCTCTCAACCCTGCGTCCCTGTTGGTGCCACGTAAGCCACAAAGACGGGCCCTCGAGCAGCGGCTCGATCCCATGTGGACACTGCTGTCGTCCACATGAGCCCCACAAGCAGACTGAGTCAGTGCAAGGGCTTCCCGCCAGCACGCCGGCCCCTCGCTCCACCCCCGCCCAGCCTACTGTCCGCTCCCCTGTGCCCCTGCCCAGCTGCTCCTGTGTGGGGCCCTCGGCACCCCAGGCCTCTTCCCACCTGGCCTTGCTGCCCATCTGGAGACATGCTCCAGCTCCCACCTTCATCTGGGCTCTGCCAGGCTCACAGCCCAGGAGCCCCCACCCCTCTAGATGGTCACCCCACCATCTGCACTCTATCAGTGCAGCCTGACCTGACTTCTGGGGTCCCCTGGCAGTGGTCTGCCTGTCCCAGCCCCCACCCCAGGCTAAGGGACCCTGCCTGGCTTTCACAGCCCCATCTCCAGGGACTGCAGGACCCTGTACACAGGGCAGCACTCTGGCCAAATGTGCTGAGTGGACAACTCAGCCAGACCACACAGTGGCAAAGAGGGTCTGAGTGTGCCCCAAGGCTTCTGCGTTCCCCTCTGCCTCCAGCCCCCACAGCAGGAAGGCTCTCCAAGGCCTGGGGGCCCCCAGCCAGCACTGCCCTGTGGGCCTTCACTCAGAACAGGGCAGCGAACATGCAGAATCTCTGCTCAGCTCTGTCCAAGCACCCACCCACCGCGCAGGCTGCGTTAAAGCCCTAAATAAGCCCCAGAAATGGAAGGCCGACCATTTTACGGCTGAATCAATCCGCCTCTAATTTCATCACTCCACAGAGGTGTTCTCCCTTAATGACCCCATTATTCTACCAAACAATGAGCTGAATGTGCAATCACCGCTGCCTCATCTGCAGCCCAAGGACCCCTACCCGCTCTGTGGCCAGCACCTCCCATCTGGGCCAGACACCCCCCACTTAGGCCTGGACATCTTTCACTGTGACCCAGACACCTCTCACTGTGGCCCGGTGCCTCCCACGTGGCCAGGCTCCTTCTCACCAAAACTGGACACCTCTTACCACAGCCCGGTGCCCCCCACCACAGCCAGACGCCTCCCACTGAAACCCGGACCCTCCCACTGTGGCCTGCCAGCTCCCACCACGGCTGGAGCCCTTCACCACAGCCCAGTGCCTCCCACCACGGCTGGACACTTCTCACCAAGGCAATCCCTCACACCCCGCACAAGTCCAGATGTCATCAGCCACTGGCTTCGCAGGCTGCAGGGGTGAACGTGTGGCCTCAGCCGCAACAGGCTCCCCGTGAAGTCACCTTTGTCCCCGTGGTGGGCTCAGGTCCACACACCCTGAGTCATGGGCTCCCTGACACCCCCACTGCCCCACAGTGCACCTCTCCCACCAGGCATCACAGCAGTTCCGTGGCCTTGTTCCAAAGGCACGGAGCAGACACCATGGGCCTGGGGGGATGACAGGGAGCCCCAGGGCCTGGCCACTGTGCAGAGCCACAAATGAGAAGTGACCACCAGACGGGCACCATGACAACCAGGCCAGCATCAGGAGAGGGAACAGAGCCACAGGGGGAATAAGGCACAGAGTGGCAGTGAGGTGGGAGAGGCAGACTGGCGAGGTGTCCCCCACAGCACCCAGTACACTGGCGGATGTCAGGGATAAGAAGCCGGCCAGGGCAGACACTAGGACTGAGCGCCGAGAGATGAGAGGGGCCAGGCTGGAGGGGCTGGGGGTGCACCGGAGCTGGCACCCCCATGAACCTGCTCTGGTCCCTGTGTGGTCCCACAGCACAGGGGGGGTCCCCCGATCTATGGGGTGAAGGAAGGAATGAGAAGCAGCAGAAAAGCAGGCAGGGGGAGGGGCGTGCACAGGAGTCGGGGCAAGGCGGGGGCTGCTGAAGCCCGTCACATGCCTTCTCAGGGGCGGGACCCCCGGGATCAGAAGAGATGGGACGTGTGTGAGCAGGACCCTGCACGGTGTGAACCATCGGGATCCATGAACGGGACCAGGAGAGCGGTCAAGCACCTTAGCCACTGCACCACCGGAGCCCCTCAGAGTGAGGAGAGCCGCGCTCTGCTGACCCGGGTTAGGCTCACGTGTTTGCGGGCCATCCAAGTCCAGGCCCAGAGATTCGCACCTTGAACCACCGTCTGCTGTCACCCTACAGTCCCCAAAGGACAAGAGAGGAGTGTGAACCCAATGGTCAGCGCTTGCCAAGGTCACAGGGTGGTTTGGGCCTTCTGAAGGGATGCCTGTGCTGCTTTGTCCCTGGACACCAGGCAGGCCCTAGGGGGTGTCTGGTGCTCAGTGGCAGTGATGATGACATTAGCAATGCCCCGGAGCCACCTGCACACGGCTGTGTCCCCAGACCCCAAGGGCTGCTGTGTGGGCCTGGTCTGACAGATGACTCGATGTCAGTGTGCAGCGTGGGCGGATCCAGAGACTGGACCTCAGCAACTGCTGCATGTCCAGCCACAGCTACGACTCACTGCAAACAGGGCCACTGGAGGAAGGACCGCGTGGGGGAGGGTCTCCGGGGGAGGGAGCACGGTTCCAGAGGCACCACGGTGTGTGTGTATGTGCGTGTGTGTGCGCGCGCAGGGGGGCGGCTAAGAGCAGGAGCTATAGAGACAAAGGAGGGAGACAGAGAGACAGAGAGTCAGAGAGTGAAGGAGAGAAAGGGAGAGAGATAAAGACAGAGAGAGAGACAGAGACAAAAAAACAGAGACACAGAGAAGGAGAGAAACAGAGAGAGGGAGGTGGACAGGAAAAGACAGGAGGAGACGGACAGAGAAAGGACAGAGATGGGGGAGAGATGGAGATGGAGAGAGAAAGAGACAGAGGGGGAGAGAAGGACAGACAGAGAGAGGGACAGAGAGGGGGAGAGACAGAGAGAAGGACAGAGACAGAGAGGAGGAGAGAGACAGAGAGGGGGGAGAGACAGAGACAGAGAGGGGGAGAGACAGAGAGGGGAGAGACAGAGACAGAGAGGGGGAGAGACAGAGAGGGAAAGAGAGACAGAGAGAGGGACAGAGACAGAGAGGAGGAAAGAGACAGAGAGGGGAAGAGACAGAGGGGGGAGAGACAGAGAGAGGGACAGAGACAGAGAGGGGGACAGACAG